TCCATATTAGAGATTTCCTGGCATGTAAAAAATTATTATTACTTCTCATATGAGTCCGTTTTGGACTTTCTGCATGAGAGCGCCCTCCGGCTTTGAGTATGAATGAAACATACACCGCATGAGAGTGTTCAGCACTCTGTAATATTCACACCGTTTTGGATACGAATAAAACGTATCCAAAAAGATGTGACTATCTTTATCTTTTAATTTAAATCTAGATTTATTGACGCCGGCCCTTAAAAAACCTCTATGTGAACATACTTGCCTGAAAAAAGTGCAGGGGAAGAGTTAAGGTTTTATTAAATGTCGAGAGGGCACGTCACGCCACCGCAAAGGGATGAAAGAGCCTCTAGAGCCATGGGTTGCCGACCCGTGGACTAGCTGATGCTATTGACTATACTTAAGCTATTGACATAAAACTGGCATTAAGAAGATTTTTTTAAAGCTTTATTTCATTTCCAAATCATCCAGACTGCCTGTTTAAGTAGACAAATTAATTTTCTCACATAATTTGGTGTTTAAATGGATGACATGTTCTAAACTCTGTGCTGGTTGTACCTCATGCATGCATATATTTATTTCTCAGGTCTTCTTGATGAGAACCTTCAAAAGTATGGAAGTCTAATTCCTGTACATTCAGATGATGTTGTTGAGGAACTGAAGGGCATCTTCAATGAGGACTTCTCTCAGCCCCACAGGTCTCACACATGCACAACCTCAAATATAAATACAAATATATATGTCTTTGTGCATGCATACATACATCTCTGGAAGGTAGTCAAGGTACTAAAGTTTTTTTGTGTGCCCACAGGAAAGTCATGGTGCAACATTTAATTCAGTCCTACCAGAGATCAGCAGGGACTGCCATGGTGAAAGGGTTTCGGGTGAATTACAAGCGTCATGTTCTGACAATGGATGATCTTAGCACCCTCTATGGACAAAATTGGCTCAATGACCAGGTGAGTTTTGAGTTATAAATGCACAGCACTATTTTTCATAATTCTGCTTTTCTCTGTCCTACTTAATGCACACATTGTTCTTTCATCTGATTTCATAAGGTCATGAACATGTATGGAGACCTTGTGATGGATTCAGTGCCTGAAAAGGTTTTTAAGTTCTTTAGGTTTTTCTAATTTCTCCTATGTAATTCTCCTATTTTCATATTAGTTAACCTGATCCTAGTTCAACCTTAGTAACAAAAGTTGTGAAATACAAATGTATCCTGCACTGTTTAGTAATCAAAGTATATAAGAAGTGAAAATGTTTTAGTAGTAGTTCAGTTTTATCGTTGTTGTTGATTGTCAGGGAAAGTTCATTTTTTATTTAGTTGTGTTTAGTGTTTTATGTCTTCTCCATTTTCAGGTGCACTTTTTTAACAGTTTCTTTTATGACAAGTTGAGGACCAAAGGCTATGATGGAGTGAAACGGTGGACAAAGAATGTAAGAAAACTGTAAACCTCTTATTATTTTATTTGATGTGTACTACTGTTTAAGAGGCGTCATTTAATATATTTTTATATATTTTAAAACAAGTGCTGTCAAATGATTAATCGCTATTAATCGCGTCCAAAATAAAAGTTTTTGTTTACATAACAAATATACACAGCACACACACATATATTATGTATATGTAAATACACACACATACATGTATATATTTAAGAAAAATATGTTATCTTTATATATTAAATAAATTTATATATTATATAATTTATATGAATATAAATATATACATGTAAATATTTTCAAAATATATACTGTATGTGTGTCTCTTCATATATACATAATAAATATACATTGTACACACGCATATTATGTAAACAAAAACTTTTATTTTGGATGCGATTAATCACTATTAATCATTTGACAGCACTATTTAAAATGTAACTTGTTGACTTGATTGCAAAGCTGCTTAATATTTTTGTGGAAATTTTATTTTTTTTAGGATTGAGGATTCTTTGATGAATAAAAAGTTAATAAGAACAGCATTTATTTGCAAATATTATAAGCGTCTTTCTTTTACTTTTGATCAATTACTGACCCCATACTTTTGAAGTGTATCATCTTATTATGTGCATAACATAATTATGTATGGTCTTATTATGTGCATTACATAATCATGTACTATGTAATGATCAATTTATTTGGGTCCGTTCTTAGTGATAATCCTTAAAGCAAATCAGCAGAACTTTTCTTGATATGCTTTTTTATTTATACAAGTACAAACATGTTTTAGGTGGACATCTTCCAGAAGGATCTGTTGTTGATTCCCATTCATTTAGAAGTGCACTGGTCACTGATCTCGGTTGATATTAAACAGCACTCCATCACGTACTTCGATTCTCAGAGAACCCTTAATCGCCGCTGCCCCAAGGTAAAAGCCCTACAAAAATATTGTGTTTTCTGTACAGTCAAAATCTTCTCCACAAGCTATCAGATTTCTTTGAAATTGTGTGTAATGTCTAAAACATTATAATAAGCAGGGCCGTTTCTAGGCATAGGCGAGCTAGGCGGTAACCTAGGGCGCCACCAGCTGAAGGGGTGCCAATGAGCGCACGTACTGGCACTTTTAGCAGGGTTGTGATAAAGAGTGGCACGGTCTCCCTGAAATATGACTGCCGCCCCCACTGGATCCCCCAACATTATTGGGCTAGAGTACTGTCAATCTGACGATGCCAAGGTAACACTTTTTTTTTGCCATTCAATAAAGCTAAAGAGAGAGAGAGAGAGAGAGAGAGAGAGGGATTTCGGGGGATCCCGAAATAGGGATTTCGCCTAGGGCGTCAAATTGGCTAGAAACAGCCCTGATAATAAGCAATAAATTCTTAACCTTTGTTTTTATGTTTGTAATTTATCTCAGCTAAGTAACATTTTTTCTCTCCACAGCATATTTTTAAATACCTGCAGGCAGAAGCCATGATAAAAGAGAAGAGAGATTTTCTCACATGGTGGAAAGGCTTTTTTAAAATGGTGAGGCCAGTCATTGCAGTGACTGTTACCATAAATTGCTACTTGACCTTTTTGTAATGTCTAATGCTGTTCAGTTGTTTAAATAACAATTAATAGAGCCTCTCTTTTTTGTTACAGAATGTTGGCAGACAGAATAATGACAGTGACTGTGGTGCATTTGTCCTGCAGGTTTGTATATGCATCATCTTCCTTCTGAAGCTTTATGAGTGGTTGATAAGATTCAGATTAACTGACACAGTATTGTTCATTTATAGCTGTTTATCCAGAGGAGAATTTATTAAGCTCTATTAAAAACCACAAGAAATATGTCAGAACATATGTTGTTTGAGATGTCTTTTCCTCAGTTACACACACAAGATTTAACTCTTATTTCTCTTTTTATTTTCTCCACCTCCATTTTAGTATTGCAAGTGTCTCGCATTGGGTCAGCCCTTCAGCTTCAGTCAACAGGACATGCCCAAGCTGAGGAGACTTATGTACAAAGAACTGTGTCATTGCAAGCTGTCACTGTGATATTTGTTTAAAGACTGCACAGCCAAGATACATTTGTCCAAAAAGCCTGAGAGACTTCTCACTGAGGATATTTCATCCTCGCTCACGTTTGTTTTCATTTTGTATAAACTTTTTGTTTGTTTTCGTACTGGAGCCCAACATCTTGACTGAGAGATCTGAGGTAATTTACGATTGACAGCCTGTCTTGCCCTTGTGACATACTGCCTAAATGGAACCGTCTGTTTTCTGCTTTTTTCCGTGTATAAAGATGTTGCAAAACCTCTGATCTGAAATGTTGGCATGAGAGTAACTGTGCTCTAATGCAAGTGACAAATCATGTCTGCAGTTTTGTTCTTAATAAATCGTCTTAAGAAAATAATGATCTGTGTACTCATCAGAACACTTAAATTATTATTTTGTTAGTCACTTTGCAATTAATGACGATTTATTATGAAAGGTTATGGAATCAATATGTCAGTGAGGTATTCTCCAGTTATGCTGTGTTCACCCTTATTCAAACAAAAAATGGAAATAATACCAGTAGGCTGGTTCTTCCTTAAAGCATATTTATATGGACTATTAAATGACCCACTAAGAACACCAGCTGTGAATCATGAATGACTCACTTGCAACATTTATGTACAGGTAAACAGCTCTTGGGTAATAAGGGAAGGGGTCATCTCTGTATTTTCTGGAAGTGAGCACATTAGTGTTTGACATAGTAACAGGTTTTTTTTTTTAATTCAAATACTGTTAGCAACAGTTCAAAAGCAAACAAAAAAAGTTGAGAGTGCAAACGGAATTATGTAAAAAAAAAAATTAAAGACAAACATTATGAAAGTACCTTTATAGTCTATTAAAATCCGATTATCAAATTGGTTCTCTTATCTTGTCACTTTAGTCAGTAACATTTTTTAAAATATGAATTATCACCTCAAATTTCAGGGCTGAAAGGTTTTTTTAAAGGTATATTCTTGAAAACCAAACGTCAAATTTCTTAAAGAAAGGGCAAAACTGGTTCAATTTACAGATAGGATTTTCGTGACGTTTTCAAACAGGCGCTTATGATAGGGCGGTATCAATCGTTTCTGGACCAATGGGAAGTCACGCTGGGCGGGTGTATAATCTGACTGATCGGGACTATGTCCAATCAGTGAGCTTTGGTGGTCGTCACGGTTTAAGTATTTGCGCGTTTCCGCCAGTCTACAGTCCTTTGTAATAATGTCGTCTGAACATGAGGATAGGTAAGATTGCGTGCTCGAATACATTTTTTCCCTGTTTGTGGTAATGGTGCCCGTTTACTTGAAAGGTTCAGTCAGTATCACTGATTTCACATGATTTGTTTGAGAATATTGAATATTTGTCTTTGAAAGCTAGCATTATCAGCCGGTTTGGCACGTTCGTTCTCTCTGTTCCCGCCTCGTTAAAATACTTTAGAAAAGCGTGTGTTCACCAGGTAACGTTAGTGTAAGTACAAGTCATCTTATTTTGGTGTTATATCCGTGAAGTTCGTTGAGAAGTCTCTTAAAAGGGTTTTGGAAGAGAGATTTTCTCACATGGTGGAAAGGCTTTTTTAAAATGGTGAGGCCAGTCATTGCAGTGACTGTTACCATAAATTGCTACTTGACCTTTTTGTAATGTCTAATGCTGTTCAGTTGTTTAAATAACAATTAATAGAGCCTCTCTTTTTTGTTACAGAATGTTGGCAGACAGAATAATGACAGTGACTGTGGTGCATTTGTCCTGCAGGTTTGTATATGCATCATCTTCCTTCTGAAGCTTTATGAGTGGTTGATAAGATTCAGATTAACTGACACAGTATTGTTCATTTATAGCTGTTTATCCAGAGGAGAATTTATTAAGCTCTATTAAAAACCACAAGAAATATGTCAGAACATATGTTGTTTGAGATGTCTTTTCCTCAGTTACACACACAAGATTTAACTCTTATTTCTCTTTTTATTTTCTCCACCTCCATTTTAGTATTGCAAGTGTCTCGCATTGGGTCAGCCCTTCAGCTTCAGTCAACAGGACATGCCCAAGCTGAGGAGACTTATGTACAAAGAACTGTGTCATTGCAAGCTGTCACTGTGATATTTGTTTAAAGACTGCACAGCCAAGATACATTTGTCCAAAAAGCCTGAGAGACTTCTCACTGAGGATATTTCATCCTCGCTCACGTTTGTTTTCATTTTGTATAAACTTTTTGTTTGTTTTCGTACTGGAGCCCAACATCTTGACTGAGAGATCTGAGGTAATTTACGATTGACAGCCTGTCTTGCCCTTGTGACATACTGCCTAAATGGAACCGTCTGTTTTCTGCTTTTTTCCGTGTATAAAGATGTTGCAAAACCTCTGATCTGAAATGTTGGCATGAGAGTAACTGTGCTCTAATGCAAGTGACAAATCATGTCTGCAGTTTTGTTCTTAATAAATCGTCTTAAGAAAATAATGATCTGTGTACTCATCAGAACACTTAAATTATTATTTTGTTAGTCACTTTGCAATTAATGACGATTTATTATGAAAGGTTATGGAATCAATATGTCAGTGAGGTATTCTCCAGTTATGCTGTGTTCACCCTTATTCAAACAAAAAATGGAAATAATACCAGTAAGCTGGTTCTTCCTTAAAGCATATTTATATGGACTATTAAATGACCCACTAAGAACACCAGCTGTGAATCATGAATGACTCACTTGCAACATTTATGTACAGGTAAACAGCTCTTGGGTAATAAGGGAAGGGGTCATCTGTATTTTCTGGAAGTGAGCACATTAGTGTTTGACATAGTAACAGGTTTTTTTTTTTAATTCAAATACTGTTAGCAACAGTTCAAAAGCAAACAAAAAAAGTTGAGAGGGCAAACGGAAACACAAAATTATGTAAAAAAAAAAATTAAAGACAAACATTATGAAAGTACCTTTATAGTCTATTAAAATCCGATTATCAAATTGGTTCTCTTATCTTGTTACTTTAGTCAGTAACATTTTTTAAAATATGAATTATCACCTCAAATTTCAGGGCTGAAAGGTTTTTTTAAAGGTATATTCTTGAAAACCAAACGTCAAATTTCTTAAAGAAAGGGCAAAACTGGTTCAATTTACAGCTAGGATTTTCGTGACGTTTTCAAACAGGCGCTTATGATAGGGCGGTATCAATCGTTTCTGGACCAATGGGAAGTCACGCTGGGCGGGTGTATAATCTGACTGATCGGGACGGAGTTACCGACGCGTTCATGTGATTTAGTCGAGCCACGTTGGTAATGGCGCTGAGCGAAAATGGCCGCCTCTTGGTCGTTTTACGAGGTTACGATATCAGTGTCTTTAAAAAAATAAAACTAACGCCGTTTTATGAGTATTGCAAATAATCAAAATGTAAATCGTAATCGAAACCGGTGTGAAACTCAAAAGAAAACGTTGGACAGAATGATAGCCTCGGTCACCGTTCACTTTAATTTGATGGAAAATGGTAACGTTACAATGAAAGTGAACTGTGACTGAGACCGTCGTTCCCCTTTTGTGTTCCATAGACTAAGTCGTGTGTTTGAGTAAGGTTTCGTACGATTTTATTTTTTTTTTTAAGAAAAAGAAACCGTGCCGTCGGTGAAAATATTGCTAGTATACTTTGTCTAGAAATAAATGTAATGTATTGGTATATACTGAGTTGACGCACAAGCTTGTTATATCGCATGTTATAATAACCTCCTTTTAAAAGATTGAGTTACCGACGCGTTCATGTGATTTAGTCGAGCCACGTTGGTAATGGCGCTGAGCGAAAATGGCCGCCTCTTGGTCGTTTTACGAGGTTACGATATCAGTGTCTTTAAAAAAATAAAACTAACGCCGTTTTATGAGTATTGCAAATAATCAAAATGTAAATCGTAATCGAAACCGGTGTGAAACCCATAAGAAAACGTTGGACAGAATGATAGCCTCGGTCACCGTTCACTTTCATTTGATGGAAAATGGTAACGTTACAATGAAAGTGAACTGTGACTGAGACCGTCGTTCCCCTTTTGTGTTCCATAGACGAAGTCGTGTGTTTGAGTAAGGTTTCGTACGATTTTATTATTTTTTTGCCTGAAACTTCTCTTAAAGAAGGTGGTTTAGACACTTGAACAATAGATTAATACATGTTAAGTTATGGGATGTCTGGCTGTAGGCAATCACCCTACACTATGGGACTGGGTAACTCAAATATTGGTTTAGAATTGGCTCAATCGGTTTAGTCTTACGTTTGTGAAAATGTGCCCCTTGGAGGGTTTTTTTTTTTTTGCCTCCCAACTGAATGTGAAATTAGTTTTACATAAAAGCTATACTAATTACAACCTCTTGTTTCAGACCCAGAGACAATGGCCCTGAGGGGATGGAGCCAGATGGTGTCATTGAGGTTGGTGACTATTAAAAGCCATTTCACCTATAGTTTTAATAAGCACATTTGATTTTTTTCCCCCTTTAATTATAAACTGGTGAGAACTGATTCAGGTTTGTTGCAACTTGTAGAGTTTCAGTTTTTTTTCCTTTGAGGAAAGTGTAGCAGACTTTAAAAAAATTGAGGTTGGTGACTATTAAAAGCCATTTCACCTATAGTTTTAATAAGCACATTTGATTTTTTTCCCCCTTTAATTATAAACTGGTGAGAACTGATTCAGGTTTGTTGTTGCAACTTGTAGAGTTTCAGTTTTTTTTCCTTTGAGGAAAGTGTAGCAGACTTTAAAAAAAAAAAAGAAAAGAAAAGTGGTGAACCCTTCAGTTTTATAAGCATGTCCCCTATCACTGGGCGAGGCTGTGTCTGTCAATGGCACAAAGTCTTATATCTGTTAGTGGCAGAGCAAATTAGGGCCATATACATCCCAGTCAGCTCAAGACAGTAGGTGCGTTTCCATTAGATTTGCGCAAAACTTTGGTGATTTTTTTATAAATGTCGATTTAAAGTTTTGCAAAATGAAGGCATTCCCATTAACCAATGTTATGCGACTAAAACGTAACCTTTTGCCTCGCAGTAAGTCATGGCAACGGATTTTGGTGGGATTTTGATGGATTTTGGCTATATTTATTCAAAGGAGGCGTATGCATGTATCTTTACAGAAGCAGCACAGAGAGCCGCTTCAGAAACGTGCGTGGCGTGGCTGGATTCTGGAATAAACGCAAGCATCGCGGCCACAATCAGCTTCAGTGGCCGTATCAGAGCCACATTGCACCGCAGACGTGTGCAGTGTAAATTGTCCACTCTAAGCATTAATGGTAGGGAAAGCCCCTTATACTGGAGAGCGGCCATGTATGATGTGTTTCTCGGAGGTTATAGTACATTGAAGAATGATCATATGACTTTTTACATGCGCCATGTGACCTGTAAATGCGAAAAATGTTTTCCATTGCAGTTTTGCGAATTATTCCTTTTTCACATTGCCTAAAAACCACCTCATGCGAGCGTGTAAACTTTTGCAATATATGGGCGTTTTTGTGAAATTGACACGTTTCCATTAAGCGTATTTTCAATTCGCAATTTCAGTTTGCGCAATTTGAAGGGTAATGGAAACGCGCCTAGTGAGAAAATACTTTTTCATGGTATGGGCACAGATACTTGTCAACACTTTAGTATGGAGATTTTCCCCCCTTAAATTATATTTGAATATGTGTATGTATGCGTGTGTATATATATTTGTTTAACACTATTTTTATTTTTTTTACAGAGCAACTGGAAGGAGATTGTTGATAGTTTTGATGATATGAACCTGCGAGAGGCTCTTCTCAGAGGAATCTATGCTTATGGTTTTGAGAAACCTTCCGCCATTCAGCAGAGGGCAATTCTCCCTTGTATCAAGGGTATGTAAAACTTAATTGGTCTGTCTGCGTTTGTCACGTAATTCTGTAATATAAGAAGTTAATTCACACCCTTATTAATTGGGCAATGCGGTGTCTGTCGGTGACACTGACCTATATCTAGTAAGGGCAAATGAAAAAAAGCCTATATTCATCCCAGTCAACTCAGTTCAGTGAGGCATAGACTGTTTCATGGTATGGGCACAAGCTGCCTTGGTACTGTAATGTGAAACTCCATGTGATTGAATGGGCATTTGTTAAAATTGAGCTTTTTTTGGGTCTGTAGGGTATGATGTCATCGCACAGGCTCAGTCTGGCACAGGAAAGACGGCCACCTTTGCTATCTCCATCCTGCAGCATATTGATGTGGAGATGAAGGCTACACAAGCTATGGTGCTGGCTCCTACCAGAGAGCTCGCCCAACAGGTGAGAACCGTTACTCATTCAGGTTTGTTATAGCACACTGTACTAGCTCTGCCTTTTTGTTGGAGGTTTTGGGAGACAAGGAAGACCGTGTGACGAGTTTAAGCATGCCCCCTATCACTAGGCAAGGCTGTGTCTGTCAATGACAGTCTTATATCTGTTAGGAGCAGAGAAAATAAAGGCAATATTCATCCCAGTCAGCTCAACACAGTGAGAAAAGACTGTTTCATGGTATGGGCACAGATATTTGTCAAATCTCTTTTAAGATGCTTTTGCAGTGACTTGAGCACAGGTGGTTTTTCAGTTAAAGTTAAATGGAGTTGATCTTTTAGCTATTGCTAAAATGTTTGTCTTCCTCAGATTCAGAAGGTGGTGCTGGCTCTTGGAGACTATATGGGGGCAACCTGCCATGCCTGCATTGGTGGCACCAACGTCCGTAATGATGTTCAGAAGCTCCAGGCTGATGTGCCCCACATAGTGGTTGGAACCCCTGGCCGTGTGTTTGACATGCTCAACCGCAGATATCTTTGTAAGTGTGGATGACAATCGCTTGTTTCAGTGGACTGTCTTATTTGAGACTGGTACTAGAATTCTTAACTACCTGTTCTCTTGTTGTTAAAAGTTTAATAACCTTCTGTATGCATGCCAATGGCTTGGAAATTACTGTTTGATTTTCTTTTTCAGCTCCCAAATATATAAAGATGTTTGCGCTGGATGAGGCAGATGAAATGTTAAGCCGTGGTTTCAAGGACCAGATTTATGAGATCTTTCAGAAGTTGGCCACAGATACTCAGGTAAACCTTTTTGTTTTTTCTCTTGGAGCCCACACCAAAGTCCCTCTCCTACCAGCTTTGTGTGCTGTGATGGGAATCATAATCTTTGGTAGAGGAATGTAACTGCTCTCCACTTTGATTGGGCTCATAGGTCCCTCTTCATGACTATTAAGCAGCTTACATTTTATATCCTAAATAGTTTTATTTGCTGTACATTTTAGAGGTTTGTGTTGGTCAAATCTACTCCAGTCAGCTAAGATGATCATAATGACTGTAAATTAACTTTTTCCTGTTATAGTCATCTTCAGGTTGTGGTTAGTGTTGACTCATTTTGTAAGCTATAACTTGTGCATGGTTTTTCTTTTCCCAGGTGATTCTTTTGTCTGCCACCATGCCTCAGGAGGTGCTGGAGGTGACCACAAAATTCATGAGAGATCCTATTCGTATCCTAGTTAAAAAGGAAGAGCTGACCCTGGAGGGTATCCGGCAGTTCTACATTAATGTTGAGAAAGAGGTGAGTGGAGAGCTTAGCGTTGAGAAATGAATATTTGTATCTCAAAGCTGTCCAATTTGTTGTCCAAAGTTGCAGTCATTT